GAAAGGTCATTCTTCCGCTATGCGTCGGCCGAAGCCATCGAGCTGATCACGGTTGACTCCCCGCGCAAAAGGACACCGCCCAAGAAGAATGAAGCAGTCGCTGAGATCGTCAACAACATGTCCGCTGACCTCGTGATTGATTTCACAGTGATCGTCGATGGTGATATCTACCCTGTAGAGATTACGAGAACCGACGAGACACAGGCCGCTGACAACGTCACGGACGATCCAGGGTTCTCAGTTGCTCCACCAATACCTGCACAGGATGTGGATGTGGATGCGCAACCCGAAGAAGAGCAAGGTGCAGAAGGCCCTGATCCCAGGCATGCAATTCGTGAAGGAGTTGTCACGCAGCTTCAGGACTATGTTGGCGTACTCGCTCAGGGCGAGATGTCAGTCGGAAGCGATCGCATCACATTTTGTGTTGCTTGTGGCAGTGACCTACACACTCTGTCAAATTGCACAGAGAATGCTGCAACCCGGGACCTGGTACTTCGAAGCGTCCAGATCATCAAGGAAAGTCTTCTTCGATATCCACGTCGAGTACCTTCACAAGAGGCTGAACCAATGGACGTTGACACCACAGATCATGTGAGTGTTGCATCCTCGGACCGACGACCCAAGGCCAAAGCCCGACCGCGACGCGGAGGCGAAGCCGTACGGGGTGATGTGGTCTTGATCCGTTATGAGAACAAACACAATCTCTGCACGGATGTGGAGAATCGTCGGGGCCTAAATGATGCTTGTGGCGTACCACTGCAGGAATCGGGACCAGAGAATAGCCAGCGAGTGGTGGACATCATTGAGCAGCTTTCGGACCATCGCGACCGACGCCTACCTCAACGAGGAGACCGTCCTAGCTATGTGTACGACGAGAACACTAACAGCTACACCAATCCAGGCTATGAATCCATCGGCGGCGGAAGGCCAATCCGATGCGGGATTCTCGACCTGATCCCAACCAAGGGTGCAAGCTTCATCAACAACCGGTGGGACATCGTGAACGAAGTTGTCCTTCGCAACATCACCCGTCAGCGCAGGTTGAATGCGGATTGGGCGCTGTCATGCATCCAGTCTGACTTGCGCCACAGAATCGCCAGGCGCCCAGGCTCGGAATGGCTTGACAACCGGTGCCAGGTGGCATTCAACAGTGTCATCAAATGTGATGAAGGAGGGTGGGTGCTGATCGAAGACTTGGTGAGGCATGAGCCACTATGGACCCATGAAAGCAGACGCATCACCGAAGGGGTCTCAAGGACCGATGACCAACAGAAGAAGAGAGTGTACAATGAAAGACTTCAGCTATTGTTCCAGGGGAACATGATTGCAGCCACGAAACGCAACAAGGCCAAGATTCGGTTGCAGTTCCTGGGTGTGAGAGTGAAGGACCCCGGCACGGAAGTTCTTGGATCAGCAGGTTCGAACATGTTGGTATCAGTTCGGGACCAGATCGCGGAGATCCAGAGCAACGACCATTGCCGGCATGGCCAGAGGTACCTGAACCTATGCAACGGCTGGGTGAAGCCATGGGCAGTTCGGGCTACGAGTGGTCACTCTGCGCATTCAGATCCCCAGAACAACTTGCTTCAGTTGGACAAGAACAGGTTCGCAATATCTCCATCTATGACCCTCTTGCAACGTCTTGGAGGTGCGTTCCACGCTACGGCATGCCGCAACTTGGATTCCATTGTCACGCAAGGCATCATGCCTGGTTCGGAGGACCCCGACGGGGACTTCGACCATCGGCGCCAATTCCGAGGCAACCAAGGCGGCAGACTCCACAGCTATTGGGGGGTGTTTGCGCCGTTCGATCACCGGAACGCAACGACCAAGATGCGAGTACACGGACGAGACGCCAAGCATATGCCATTGGCGGTTCTTCATGTCCCATCGCAAGATCTTGCACGAGAGGATGGACGTATCACAGACAGCGGCATCATGATCGTTGGTCGAACGATACCTTTCCATTTCGTCAAGGAGGTATGGTTTTGCGTCCCTGATCCTCGAGATACACACTCTTTCGCTCTGGTGGAAAAGATCTACGATGAAAGGTTGGAGAAAGAGCTGGTGTTGGACTACAATGCATCACCGTTGCTTCCCGAGTTCGAGAGATACCGAACGCCAAGCAAGATCATGGAATTGCTTTGCGAGATGCCTCCTGGACCCCACGACACAAGCAAGGAGCAGATCATTCGTGACCTCACAACTGTCTTGGAGTCCCACAGGGAGAACACGGTTCGGCATCACTACATGGACAAGGGAATCAAGTTTGTCATCAAGAATTGGCGACCCGAAGACCTACGCAGAGACGAGGATGGAAGGAGAATGAGGGTATGCCCGGCATGCTACAACATTGTTCCAGCATGTTTCTCCCGATGCACGTCTTGCTGGTCACAGTTCATTTCAAGCGGATATTATCAAGGTTCTCCACAACGGGATACTCCTACGGAGATCCCCAGTGACTTCATTGCTCAGACAATGGAAGCCGCAGCAGCCGCAGTGCCTGAGGCGCCCGAAGAGGAGCAGGAAGCCATGGAGGTAGAGACCGTTGCGGAACCTGAAGAAATCCCAGAACCATCTGTTGTCGCGGAAGACGATCCAGAACAGGAACCTGATGAAGAAATGGACGTTGAGCCTGAAGAGGACTTTGATGACGCAGTTCCGGAAGCAATCGCACAGGAACGTCGTCCCGTCTTCCTTACCGGCCAGTCTTTGAACATCGATCCTGAACTACAACTTGCACGTACCGCCATGCAGCCATCTTACTATTCTGGAAAGCGAAATGCCCATTGCATTGACGCGAACATGACCGCTCTGTCGTACATGGCATACGTGGTATGCCGATCCATCTACAAAGCTTGGTCAGGATTCGCAAAGTGGGCGACTATGCCGTTGTTTCAGATGAGGGAAAGTTTCGCGCTTGGCCAACGCTATGATGTGCTTGGAAAGTGGGGATCTTTGGCAGCAGTGGATAAGGAAACAGGTGTCAGCAGGGACGTGACTGATGAGGAGATCATTCGCTTTGCGAAGGAACCTGAGAACCTCAAACAGTATGATCCCAACGGGACTTACACCTTGAAACGCTTCCGGACGAACCAGATGCTTTCTTTACTTGTACGTGGAGCCAACATGATGGGAATTGGCAGGGACAACTTCAGCCCTACTACTTACTTGAAGAGCGACAGGGATGAAGATGTAAAGGCAATGCATTTTTGTTGCCTGAACGTCCTATGCGAGGTGATCCCAATGGTGACGGGACACCAACACTTCTCTGTGCTACGACCAACGCCAACTGGAACAGTGGACTTCTTGTACATCGACCCCGTCGGTATTCTGCTGACTCATTCTGATCAGTCAGTCCAGACCATCGCCTTGCTAGTGGACCACAGCGTTCAAATGCCTGCGCATTTCATGGACAGACTGAATCGATCCAAGACGGAGAGACAGCAAAACCCGACGACAAGGCGTACAGAGGCCCTACATCACATTTCGGCCGCTGACTATCTTCCTCCAGGTGGTACTTCCATCCTGGACACGCCTGTCACTACGGAGGAACGTGAAAGCGCTTCTTCATCCAAGGGACCTTCAAAAGGGCGTGGAAGAACCGGAGGCGAGCAACATGGTGGCTGGAACACCAATTCCTACCACGACTACATCGCCGCCAAAGGCCGAAACAAAGGCAAGGACAAGGGAAAGCCAAGGAACCCATATCCAGAGGAGAACCTCCGGCCCTGGGAACGCGATCCTACGTCAACGCGAAGATGGTGGCGAGACAACGCCTGATCTTCCTCGCCTATCAGTTCGTGACCTCTGAGCTTCGCCCGTGGAATGCCATCGCGAATGCTTCTTTCTTCGGTGACGCCTGATTCGTTTGTCATTTCAGGGGATCGTTACTGACGTAGATGAGTGTCACAACGTTTCTAATTGGGATACAAAGCTCTGATTTTCAATGTCAACGTTGCGGCGGAATTTTCTTCTGTCCTATCGTGCCATCTTCCGGGTGAGCAGCGTCGGAGACGCAACTCATGGGGGGTGCGAACGGACTGCGATGCCTTGTCAAGTTCTAAGGTGTCACTATAAGAGCTGTGAGCAAGACCGTGTAAAGTGCAAGAGAAGGGGGCACGCTACGCGTCCCTCGACTCTAGGGGGCATGCTACGCATCCCTCGTCTTTACCTTTCTATGTGACCGCCAACGCAACGTTTGGCTCAAGTCAATGCCCATAGCTAAGTGCTATATGTGTCTTCTATCCTGAGCAATCAGAGCTATCCCGTTGCACAGACGAACCGCCGCCGGCAGTGAGTGCAAAAGGAACGGCCGCCGGTTCTGCCTGCATAGGATCGCACGTGTGGGAGTAAGAGGGAGAGACAGGGTCCAGTCTGTGGAGAGTGCTAGCCAGCCACACCTACATTCATTACAGCTCTGGTGGGGAGAGCAGCAACCAAGTCGAGATCAATCCCCCACGCATTCAAATATAGATACTAATACTACTGCTGTGACTGATACCGATACTGGTACCAGTACTTACCAATGCTGATACGAATACTAACACTAGTGTTTGACTTGTACTGTTAGGAATGCAAACACTAAGACAAGTACGTATTGTAATAACAACTACAGCCCGCAATATCAATTCCAAAACAACAACAGTGACAGCAACAGCAATACACAGCAGAACGAACAATGACAACAAAAATAGTAGATGAGGTCTCAAATCTACCCTTAACAGAAACAATAGTAATAGTAATACATAACACCATCGCAGTATAGTCCCAGGCACCATCGTGGGCGTCTTCGGAAATCTGATCGGCGGAGTGGTGGCCGACTGCCTGGCCGCCCGCTTGGGCTACCATGGGCGGCCCCTGAGTGCCTGGAGCTCGGTCGTTGGGGGGGTGGGGGTTGGGGAGGCATTCATCCGTCCGGGTAAGACAGGCTAGGATGTAACTCGTGTGTGCGAAAGCAACATATCATCGGATGTTACCTTTACTGAGCTGATTCCATCATGGCTGAACACCGCCTGGAGCAAGAACCAGGGACAAGCCCCGTATCGGGTTTACTGGCTTTCAGCGGAAAAATAGACAGGTTTTCGAGTTCAGAGAAGGATGTGTTCGCCAAGGCACAGATTACAGTGGCCATTGGCATCCCCCTGATTTACCTCTGGTTCCTGGGCATCCCGCCTGGGTCTCCTGCGAGCACCTTTGGAGACTCAGCCGTGCACTGTTCTACCGAATTCTACCGTGTTGGGGCCGTCGGGGTATTTTGCCACGAGCCGCTGGCCCCGTGTTGTTTCCTTCCAACAACGCCTCCTCCCTTAAGCCTGTGCTGTGCTAAGAAACCAGGAGTGTACTTCACCGTCATTGCTGCCTTTAGCTTGCTGGGCAACTGGGCACAGTCCGGAACTAATTTCCCGATTCTCTCGGATATCGTACCGCCGAAGCACCGAAGCTGCTTGGCAGCATCCTTTCAGCGGCTTTTGCCACTCATGTGGGCGGTGTGCTTTGAGCTGAAAGCTGCTGAAGCGAGGCAAAGTCATGGCTTGGGAGTGTGCACTGGAGAACTCCATTGCGACCCTGATCGGCCCGGTCTTCGTGGCCAAGCTGGCGTTGATGTTTGGCTACACCTTTGGCGAGGAGGAGGCCGAGGGCACGTCCCTTTCGGCCGCCACCGCCCTGGGCCAAGCCATGGCGGCCGATGCCTCAGAGGTACCGAGAGACCCCCCTCCCAGACCCAGACTTCTTCGACTTTTTTTCTCAATCAAAAACCCCAAGCCTCAGGCCACCATCTGCATCCCTTGGCTGGTGACCTTTGCCCTCTACAGCCTGCTTCACAAGTCGTACCCGTCGGACATGCGCCGATTGAAGGCCATCAGGGTTGCCCACGTTTTCTGTGGTTCTGTCGCTTGTCGACTTGTGAGATGCTCTGCGGCTGCAGCAGCACCAGCACCACCCGTACGGCTGCAGCACCACGACCACCACCCCGAAATGATCACGACGACCATAAGGACCACTGCTACCACTACTGCCACTACAACCACGACGACCACTACTCGTATTGCCACTCCTGCTAACCCCTGCTCCTACTCTTGCTCCTTCTCCTGCCCCTGCTCCTTCCGCTTCTCCTGCTCCTATGACTCTTACTCCTGTTCTTACTACTTTACACTACTCGGGCACTACTACGCCGCTTTCCTCCGGAGGCAAAGCTGCAGGCCGAAGAAGAAGCTGAGAAGGAAGGATCGAACATTTGAGCGCCGAAAGACTGAGAAAGTTTAGTGCAGGTTTAGGGTTTGAGTTTAGGGTTTAGGGCGTAGGTTTTAGGGTCTCTTACTTTTGATGCAGAATTCGCTCGAAACTTTTGCATGCCAGCCCTGCAATCACGCAGGGAGGGTCGGTTTCGTAATTTGGGCATCTTAAAGGGGTGCTGCATGAGCCTTTATCTTGAGCCGTAGCTTACCCTTGAAGGCTGAATACCGGCATTATCCAGGGATCCGGAGGGCACATCTCAAAAGACAGTCTCCTGAGTCTGTCCAGGCACAGCCTGCCGGAGATAAGCCCCTGACCAAGCTCTGCCTCGTGCGGACAAAAGATTTCCTGCCCTTCGACACCGCAGCAGCCGTAGCAGTCTTCGCAAAGAACAGAGATCGTGATCATGATGGTGACGATGCTGACGCTGATGGCACTGCGCAACTGCTGATGCTACACAGGAGAAGACACAATTGACAAACGCCACAAGCCGCACTGCGACAGACCAAGCCACGTGGGCAAACATGCAAGCACGAAACTCGTCATGGTAATAGTGCTGATGGTGCAGGAGTTGCAGTACGGAGCTGGGAGCAGAGGCATGGAAGGACAGCTAGGAGCAATTATTGTAACAACATTCGTGTCTTCATCATCATGACAAACATCCAATATGATCACTACCACTGGAATGAGCCACGCGAGCTGAGTCTCTGACTCCAAATCTGTAAGGCGCGAATTCAGAAAAATGGTCCGTGACTTGCCTGCAAAAAGCTACACACAACAAAACAAGCATAAATGAGCCCAAAGTCTGCCATCTTGCTTGCACAAGCGCACAAGAGCCCTCAATGTATCTTCGCATTCGGCGGTTGTTCGCTCTTCATCGCCACATTTGCCAGACCAATCAGTTCTGCTCAACTCAGGAATGCTGCAGGCCTTGTGGGCCATCAGGGAAGTGAGTCCTCATGGAAGTGTCAAGTGTCTATGAACTTCATCTCACATGCGCACACCCGCAACCTCCAAGGGTTCGTGTGCCAGGAGCGTGACATCCAGCGCTACAAGAAGGCGCGTGCAACCATTTTGTACCGTCATGACAAACCCAACAAGCCCGTTACGATGCGCTTCAAGTGAAGTGAGGCATCTGGTCAATGATCACAAAGCCACTACGTAAAGTGCAGCATGCAATCTGTCTGTTGCTTGTTGTTGAACTAGCAGCTCGAGGCCGTGTCGCCGTGCGCATAGAACCGAGTACTGTAAGTAGGAACATGAGGGTACGCGCAGTGGCAGGCGTTTCATGCCACTGCGGGCGAAAGCAAGGCCGGACAAAAACATTCGCTGCATTTGCCACACAGTGCGATCGACGGAAAGGGTGTGCACCTTCTTCGGCAGTTTCTGGTAAGTTCGTCAGCGAATTCCGTTTGACAGGTTTGGTCGTGATTTTTCTATGCGAGCCCATGTATGGGGATGATTCGCATGCAGAGCTTGGCCGCCTGCCCGTCTGACCGGATCGCGTGCAGGCGCTGGACGAGCGCCGGGGAGTCGAGGCATTCCATCCGATGAAGACCTAGTGCGCTAGTTACAGATGCTCCTGCCTGAGCACAGCATAAAGCACAGCACCAGACAGCAGAGCCATTCAAGCAAGGCTCGGGCCTTTTTCTGCTTCATGCAGGCAGTGCGCGAGCTGGGTTTCCGCGTGAAGAAACAGGCACGACCGGACATCAATCGACCGGCGGGACTTGTTTGACCTCATCTTTATGCACACCTGTTGCTGTTGCGCAGTACGTGGCCCTGGCCGCCAGAGTGACCGCCAAGACCTACCACATGGCGGGAAGGGTTTTCAGACAGTGTTCTGCGTTTGCTTCACCATGTCCAGCTGCCGTGAAAGTGTCGTTGCAGCATGGACGCTTGAAGCTCGGTTGTCTGGGGAATAGGCATGAGCACGAGTGCACGAGCATATAGGTTTAACAATTGGACGACGGTGACATGAACGATTCACCTTGTCTGCTGCGAACCCGTGCGGTGCAGATTAGACTTCGATGGTTCGGCAAGCGAGAGGTGTGTCGTTTCAATCACAGGTTAGTTACGCGCATGCATACCTGCAAGGCCGACTGCATACCTACCTGCCTGCCTGCCTACATGTACTACATGCATGCATGCATGGATGCATGCACAGATACATACATATACATACATATGCATACACATACATACATACATACAAACCTACATACATACCTACCTATACATACAGACATACATCGGCAGAACGTACACGCATGCACACGTACATACTAACATAATGTCAGACCTACATATGTTTGTGCATCCTCTTGATTTTGTATGGGCTTCTTCCTGTGCCAGTGATGGAAACGGTTAGAGTAGAAGCACTACACAGCACCTGCATGACAGACTTTTGTGAAGCAGACGGGAGCGAGATTTTTGAGGTTGGGATGCGAGTTTCATGCAGGCAGATCCCTTCCTGGACGAGGCAAGCTTCGTCCGCCCTGTCGGCATGTTTGACTTCTTTTTTTGTCGTGTTTCTTCCATCGCATGCAGACGACTCTCTGCCCGTGTGGAAGCTTCAAGCTGGAAGTGCAGAATTCGGTCTGTAGACAGCAGACTCTTGCTTGTGCCAGGAGTTTGCTGCCGACATGCAAGAGATTTGCGACAAGCGATTTGGCAGAAGTAACTATACTAGACTATACACACTTGCGAGTGTGGCAGACATTCGCCGTTGTCGACCTTTGACAGCTGATCTTCGACTTCAAAGTTCTGGAACCGAAGTTCTTCAGTCTAGTACCGCAATGGTAGGTTATTATAATCAGATTACGGGCTGCCCTTTGCATTACTGGTGTCGCCGTCCCAGCGACAAAGCTTCAACGCCAACTCGCCATGAGTGGCTGCACCAAGCGGTAGAGATTAAGTTGCTGACTTGCTTTTCAGTGGTCGAATTCCCTAAACCCTAAACCCCAACCCCCTTCACCCTGACCCTAAACCCCTAAACCCTAAATCCCTTAACTGCTTGAATCCCTAAATCCCTAAATCCCTAAACCCTAAACGCAAGCCGCCACCTCGGGCGCTCTTCACACTCCGAGGTGTACAAGTCGAACGGCGGCTGGACCGAGGGGGAGGCGCCTTCGGATCTTTCGGGCCGCAGGGTTCCGGGGCTGATAGATCCCTTAAGGGAACCTAGCTTATGGAACTACATACATATATATATATATACATATGTATATCATTGTATATACATATATACCAAAAGTAAATATAAATATATATATATATACACACACATAGATGTAGGTGTAGGGGAGTTTCGGTTTTGTCGTGTTCGGAGACAGAGCGGGGCAAGCTGCGGAAACATTCGGCACAAGGTGGACATGTGGCCGACATCAGATCTGCATCATAAGTCATGTGACCTTTCAAAACTGGTGTGTCGCAACTTGGCGCAATTCGGCAAGGGTCTGCAACTCGTCGTATGTACTTTTTGTGGAAGTTTGTCGAAGGGCACTATTACCCTATTACTCGCTCTCGCTCTCACTCTCTGTCTCTGTCTGTCTGTCTGTCTGTCTGTCTGCCTGCCTGCCTGCCTGCCTGGCTGGCTGCCTGCCTGGCTGGCTGGCTGGCTGGCTGGCTGGCTGGCTGGCTGGCTGGCTGGCTGGCTGGCTGTCTGGCTGTCTGTCTGTCTGTCTGTCTGTCTCTCTCTCTCTCTCTCTCTCTCTCTCTCTCTCTCTCTCTCTCTCTCTCTCTCTCTCTCCCTTTTTCACTCAGAGCGCGCATGTGTGCTTCCACACTGACAGCGGAACATGAAGGTGACGCAGCTGGAGAAGGTCTTCAACAAGTACGACGTGAAGAGGAAGGGCTTTCTATCCAGCAAAGAGCTCGGGGCTCGGAGTGGACAAAGCTCCTTCCAGGATTTCCTGGTTACAGTTGAGGCTTAAGCCGAGGGTTTGGCAAAGAACAAGCAGGCAAGTTTCAAGAATGCGCGGACAGCACAACGGTAGGGTAAGCTGATAGGATGACGGACTAGACGGGTTTTATGTCACAAAACAAGAAAAGCCAAAGTCTAAGCGGACAACTTTGAGTAAGGAGCAGCAGAGCAGCATCTCACGAGTAGACTTGCTTGTAAGGTTGGTCCGGATGGTGGAAGACATGTTTCCGGTTCTCGCACGGGACAGGAGCTGCATGAAGTGCTCTCGTCGCGGTGGTGTGCATGATTGAGAATCTTGACCGTTGAAGGAGGCTACGCCCCGATCTGCAGCGAATCATGAAGGAGGCTATCGTTTTGGTGTGATGTGCAAGATGTTGCAGAGCTTCTCGCGACTCGTCTGGAACTTCGGCTGCAGAGGCGCTCAGTGGTTGCGCACGTTCGGAAGGCAGGAGTGGCCGACTTTGCCGATCTGCAGGGAGTGGAGGTTACAGTGAAGCGACAGTTCGATGATTTCAGAGGAAAGTCCGCATGCCGACGGTGTTCTGATGAATCTTCATGGTGGTTGCGTGAAGCAGTTTTGCACCATCTGGGTTGCAGTGTACTACTTGTAGTAGCTTTAATTGGAACGCAGTCCCAGCCACAGAAAGTTGCTCAGGGTCACGCCTGGGCTCCTGTTATAAAAGGGTGGTCGTGCCAGGAAAGGTTAGGACAGGCTCGCTTTTTCACTGCAGTTCCAGTCGTATTCGTAGAACCATGCAGAACCAGATTCCTTGCACATTCCTTGCTGATCCTGCGCCGGTTCCGTGGCAAGGTGTGGGAATGCAGGATTTCCTGAAATTGATGCAGTTCTTCCGAGAGTTTCAGGACATCCGACAAGACCATGTTGACAATGCAAAGCGGCGCGTATAGGTCCGATGCGCTGCACAGTCCCGGATTGATTCGTACGGGCTTCGTGGAAGGACGGACAGCGCTTGCACAAGGAGCAGCAAGCCGTCCAGGTGCATGTGCTCTGAGTCGGCGAGAGATGGTCCGGGTTCCCATTCTTTTCGGAAGGCAAGTGGCTGGGAACATACCGAGGTAGCTCAGCCGGCAGCTCGGTACAGCCTTCTGCGCAAAGCTCAAGTTTTATCCGCACCTATCTCCGCACGGAGAGGGAAAAATGCAACATGTGTCAGGATCGCTTCACGTGTCAAGGGTTTGGAGCTGAAAAAATGCTAAGAGCTAGCTTGTTGAATACGGCGGCTGATCAGGTTGCGTGACCTCTTCATCGCCGCGTCCAACGCGTCGCATGAAAGCTCGCTTCCCGCTGAGCTTTCCTTCGAGCAGGCCGGCAGCGTTTGCAGCACGCGCATGCATGGGTGGCGTTTCACATGTTCCTCGTGCGCGTGCAGTTCCGGACCATGATCCACGACCTCTACCCGCTTGGGGATGCGCTGACGGCAGAGTTGAAATACATCTTTGCAAAGGCAGCAGATTCCTGCACAGCTGCTAGGATCTGCCAGGGGGTCCGATTGTCTGAGAGCAGAGCCAAAGAAGCCCTGGCTTGAGGGCACGCTGAGAACTTGGGAGGTTAATCGCAGGGCCAGTGTCTGCAGCCGTGGCCCCTTCGTTGAAAAGCGGCACTAGCCGTGGTACCACTCAGTGATAAGAGCGAAAAATTGAAAGACCTCAACTCCTCGCAGTTCACTCGGCGGATCGTTGGCGAAGTGAGGAGCAAGCAGAGCTTCGAGGCCTCGCAGGGAGCGTTCTGTCTCAGTTTCCTCTGCCACCGATTTGCCGCTCCTTGAGGATGCGGACTTCCCGGAGTTCCTGCTGATGATGAGGTACTTGTGGGACACCGACTGGCCCAGCAGTCCAGGGACATCCAGGATTGGCATCAAGGCCCGGGGATGCCACGGAGGGCAGGGTGAAGCTCTTAAGGTTTTTTTGGGTTTAGGGCAGTTTCTCCAGGCGAAGTTTCAAGACAAGACCGAGACGGACAAGCCATCGAAGGCACCACCAGCCAAGGCAACATCTACCGTTGGAGGTGCAGGGCCTTCAAACGTGCCCAAGGCTCAGGGGCCTTCTTAAGGTTCTGGAGGACGGCTTCCGGGTTTACCAGTATGCAGTATGCAGCAGTATGCATGTTTGGAGGTAGCTAGTGTGCATTAGTGATCATTAGTGTACTTTCCAAGAGCAAAGTTGCTTGGACTGTATGTACAAAGCGCCAAGCTGGTCTCTTCACGAAGTGATGGGGCCTCATGGCAACGTGCAGACGCGGTATCGTGCAAAGCGACGCGACAGCACACCAGCCTGTTTTCAAGGCCGCAGGTCTTGACTTGTGTAGGCTGGCAGATCACCGTCTCTGCAATCGCAGACCGAGGAGCATGGTTAGCAAGTCGGCAGTGTGAGAAAAATGCCGATTCTAAGAGATGTCGCATCATGCCGCCTTCGGCGTGCATGCTGGCCCACATCCTAAAGCAAAGGCGTTTCATGCTTGAGCACCTGTACAGCACCTTCAGGGCTCCTGAAGCTGTCGAAAGTGGTTGTTGTGTAGCAGCAGCATACCGCAGCATTCCCGTTGGAAGTTGTGTCAGGTTTTGGCCTGCTTTGCGTGTCCGGGGGTCTTCGAGATGTTGGAGAGATGTGCGGAGCCAGATATTGTTGGATGACGGTCGTTACATGATGTAAAACTTATGTAAACACACATGCAGATATAATGCAAATATCTGCCCTAGAAAGTTAAGCTTCAACGGGTTTTTATAACAGGACGATTTAGAGACTAACACATCTTGCCCGTCCATTCGCCGCTCCGCAGCCTTGGCTCCCCGCCTAGATTCGTGAGCTAAGCCCAGGCCATACCCTCTTCGGAGGCCTTTTGGAGGGAAGATAATTTCTGGACGGTGCTCTTTCGCACTTCGCGTAGAGCGAGATGCGAGGATCGAGAGTGTAACAGGTACTCCGGGACAGCAATGAAGAAGAACAGCCTCAACCGAAATAGCAAGAATTGCTGGGGAAGAAGTAAATATGATGAGGCACACTAATCTCTGGAACATGCAGCAAGAGCAGAAATGGGTAGTACTGCAAGAATTGCTGTAATCATCGTATATCTCATGTCGACACGAGGCAACAAGTGATTTACTGGTGGCAGGGCATGACGGAGGAGCCAATTCTGTGCCGATGCGAACATGAGCCAAGTCATATTGATCCAACGGTGGCCGCTGTGAACAGCGCACTAGGGGCTGTATTTTACAATAACGCGATGGCTGCGACATACTGAAACTGGGAGGCATAAGGCACTTTGATTTGGACAAGCAGGCGCTCAAAACGATGCCCATCTCCGCCGATTCTTCAGGTCTTCAATCGGCGGTTGCAAACAGAATGCGCAAGCAAATTGGGGCGACAAGACCTGTACAATGCGAGTTTCTGGACTTGAGACACACCCTTCGGATGTAGTTGGACACTTTCTGCGGGGCAATGTATATTTCACGAGAAAGGGTATGGATCGACCCGCAACAGTGATATGGCTTTGCGTAGGCATGCTGAGCATTTGCACCAGATCTGGCTGCAGTCGTCTCTGGTGCAGTACGCATGCAAACAGCCAAGCTCGACAGATAGCTATATGCTAGTTATATGCTAAACGTGTGATTTGTCACGGACATGCGTACATGTGCTTCTGTATCTTGGTTAGGATTCACGCCAACTTTGTCTCACTACGCAGCTTGACAGCTCAAGACCGACTTTGCGTCAGGTCCAGCAAAAGGTCCGCTAGCACCTGGGGGTTCTAGTGCTGCCTTTCCGCTGAGCGTCAAACTTACGGTTTTAATCTCTGATCATCCTTGCTTTGCCTGCTGCCTTGCTTTTATCTACGATTGGTTGCCTTGGGCTTTGTGACCGAGAGTTGAGTGGAATCCTCCGCTTTTCACAGGTTATCAGCCGTAGGGCCTCCGCATCCGATTGTGGATTGCTGCTTCGCTGCTGCTGCTTGGCACTCGGACCGCCTGATCCAATCAGCGTCCGATCACTACCGTTTTCCTGGCTCAGACCAAGTTCGGAACTTGTGATTGGCCGCGCCACCGAGAGAATGGCGACTCCGATCGGTTCTCCCCGTGTCCCCTCGACTGTCGGTTCTTCACTAGTGACGCCAGTTGCTCGGGATGTCGTGGAGCCCGATGATATAGTGCCCACGCATCTCGCTGCACTGCGCCCGCCTCGCACGCTTCGCTCGCTCGCTCCGCTTCAGAGAGCTCAGCACCATGCGCCGCCTTTGCCATGCTCTGCTGCTGCTGCTTTCGCAACGCCTGGCACGATGCCCGCCGGCATGCTGCCTGCTTCTGCCACTGCTCGTGCTTTGCCTTTGTTGCCTGCCTTTTCTGCGTCCGCTGCTCCTGCTGCTTCCGCACCTACTCCTCTTCCGACCGATCTTTCAGCTTGTCCTCTGTCCCTTCGCGGGGATCCAGAGGGCGCTCGGGCCCTTTTTGGGTCCGGGCCGGACGGCCGTGGTCCACCGATATCGGACCCGGCGTCCTTCCGCCCACTGCGCCCCGATTCCTATGGGCCGGTGGCTGGCCGCGGTGGAGCCTCGCTCCCCGATGAGCCCATGAGCGAGCATCCGGGTGCACCCCATGATTCCGTCGCAACGATTACCGCGGCGGGTCATGGTGGTGCCGCCCCCGCCATCGATAACGGCGGGTGGCATACCGGACCCTGTGCTGTCAGGGCCCTGGTCGATGAAGCCATTGGGTCGGAAGCATCCGCGCGCATCGCCACCGATATTCTGGCGATCGCGCAGGGTGTGACCAACACCCAGGCCGACCTCGATATACTGAGGAACGGCGTCTCGGATATCACCGAAGCGCTTGAGAGCAAGATCCGAGACATGTGGGAGCTTCTTCAGGCCGAATTGAGGAAAGAGCGTGAGCTGTTCATGCAGTTTCAGGACTCTTTCCGCGAGAGGCGGATTTCTGATCACGAGACGCTTGAAGATCATTTTGCGAAGCTCACCTCGACGATCAATGATCGACTTATTGAGTTCGATGAGCGGATCCATCAGTTCAACGAAAAGCGTGCTGGATCGCTATCCATGCAGCTTGCCGAGACGATCCGCCACATCAAGCAGTACCCAGACGCGCTGCGGCAGATTCAGATCAATATCTCTAATGCCGAAGCGCGCGTTGCTGCTGTGGAGCAGAATGCTACTCACCGCATCGAAGTCATCAGATCCGAGATGAGTCGCGCTCTCTACGATCATAAGGAGAGTAACCGAGCTCATATCGATCAGCTGACTGCTCGAATCCAGCACCTCGAGAACGCTCATGTCCGCAGAGGCGGTTCTGATAGATCGACGCCTTCGCGTCCAGAACGAACGCAGTTCTTCGATATCAGTGACCATGGTGGGGATATTCCACGCCCTGCGGACCTGCCGCCAGTTCCAGGTGCTCTATTCCCTGGCGGACCGACTACGGCCATTCCGAGGTCTTCCCTGTTGGGTCCGATCGATCATGGCTCTCCGCCGGGATGCAATGCTGCGCCTGCTGAAAAGGCCTCAACGGTTCACTCTCAGACGAGTGGAATCAATCTCGATGAAATTCTGAGGCGAGCGCAGCAACGAGTCGCTGACGAACAACCTGCCGAAAGTCGTGGGCAAAATAATCCTGTTGAGCCCATCCGACATGATTTCGGTCAAACGTCGGCGTGCTTTTCAGGAAGATCGCCGAATCAGGCCGTTCCTTCCGCAAATGCCGCCGGAGCGACTTCCGGTCAGACTCCGAGCCTCAGGCCATTTCAAGTCGATGATGCTCCTCGCGCTGACATCCGACACGTCCCTGAAGCCCGGAGCTTCGCTCCTGAGCCCAGGTCAAGCCCGACCTTCCCATGCCAAATCTCCTATGACACTCGAACTGTCCCGGCAGGGAAGGGACCGTCACGGTGGTATGATGCGATGCTTGGCCGATCGAATCTCATTGGCAACGGTGCTGGCGCACCAATTCTCCATAGTGAGACCGGTACTTTTACCCTTGCGCCGAACACGAGCGTTACTGCGACGCTTCAGCATGATGCGGCCAATGATGCCATGCCCCCGATGCCCACCTTCAGTGCCAGAACGTCCATTCCTGCACCCAGTGCCGCGCCATCCGGATTTGGTGGACCGCCTCCCGCGTATAACGGAGGCGGCGGTTATTCTGGTGGTGATGGCCCCAACGATAATGGGGGTGCATATGGCGGTGGCTTCGGATTCGGAGGACATGGGCACCACGGGTCCGGTTTTGGTCCCGGTGGCGGTGGTGGCCCACCCGACGGCCCACCTGGTGGTCCGCCTGGTGGTGGTGGCCCTCCTGACGGGAGTGGTCCGCCCGATGGCGGCCTTGATCCGCCTAGCATCAGGCCCTCCGGTCGGCCGAGTGGGAACGATACGTTCCAGTGCGAGCGATGCACCGGAACTTTCCCGACCATCGTGCGACGGTCGTGCATCTCTTGCCGATTCTCGTGTTGCAACGGATGTTGCCGAGATCCTTTGAGAATCTGTCTCGTGTGTATTGAGAGACAGACTGGGAATCCACCTGGTCCCAACGATTCGGGATTCGGTGGACCCAAGGGCGATGGATCACTGAGCGAGGCCAAGAAGGCGAAGTGCAAGTCCTTTCGTCTCGATCCTGAGCCGGAGCCTGCTCAGTTGCGACGCTGGATCGTCGATATGAAAGAGCGAGTCGCGAATGCATTCGCCTACGATCCCGGATACGCCCTATCATGGGTTGAGATTCCCGATGGTACGCGGTATGAGGATCTCCTCGATGAGTGCAAGTACGGAATGCTTGAAAACGAATGCAACTCTGCGTTCCGTGAGTGCGTCCGATCCATTGCACTGAAGAATAAGATCCAGACCGAGACCGAGCGCATGCATACGATAAACCGGCGACTCGGAAGTAGGCAGATCTTGTGGCTATTATATGATTTCCTTCGACCACATGTCACCGGCGATTCGACTTTCAAGCTCGTTGACCTGATGAAGACCACGATTGATCGGTTTACTCATGGATCCGAGCAGGAAAGGTTAGAAGCCTTCTCCAATCGGTGGGATCATGTTCTCGCTGGTATCTCAGTCGATCGCTCCGAGGATCCTGTTCTCTGCGCTCTCTTTTATGAGCAGGTGCGTGAGTTCCGCTGTCTCGAGCTCGACATGCAGCTATGGGACAGGGACGTATCCGTACGGAACTACGCATACTTGCGAACCGTCTGCGTCAATGCGATTACAACTTGGCGCCGACGACGCAATCAGGAGAAGATGTACACCGCTACGAGGTCTACTTCTGCGCAGAGACGATACGCTGCACCTGCGCACGGCAGCCCGCGCAGATCTTCATCCCGAGGTCAAAGGGGGTCAAGATCGCCTGGGCGTCGTGACTCCAGAAGGGGGAGTCCGTACCGAAGGAGCTCGCCGAGGCGCTCGTCACCCAGACGATCCTCCCCGCGACGCGGATCGCCAAGACGATATTCCCGCAGTCCGGGACGAGCAGCTCCCGCACCGACTCGCCCAATGTCGCGATCCCCGCGAGGACGGGAAATCTGCTACGATTTCAAGAAAGGCAGATGCACGCGAGGAAGCGGATGCAAGTTCTCCCATAACCTGAAGGGAAGAAGCTCCTCGCCGAAGGGTTTCCCGCCTCGATCACAATCACCGATTTCAAAGGAGTCTGGTATTTGCTTCTACTTTGCACGAGGCACTTGCTCGAGAGGAGACAAGTGTCCTTATAAGCATGTGAAGCCGGGTGCCCCAGCTGAGAGCACCCCTGCTGCCGCTCCTGCGCCTGCTGAGCCCGCGCCGACGTCAAGGCGGGTTGACAGCCCGGCGCCCACGCCCTCGGATTTTTGAGAGGGGCGTGCCGCAACCCTCAGGCAATGACAGCATCCTCTTATGGAGACTTCGCCTTCGCTTGCGTTGCATCATTCGATATGGCATGTCCGTCAGTCAAGCGGAAGACAGTGTCGTTTGGGAATACTGAGACCCGCGTGATAGAGTCTTCTTTCCCGGAGCCAAACTTCGGTCCCGTCAATCGCGAGAGGAATTTGAACTATTCGTGGCCGGAAGATATCCGTAGTCTGAATAGTGCTCGCGAGAGGCGAAGGGCGCACATGAAGGCTGTGCTTTGGAGAGAGCAGGTTTTGCTCGATGACGTTGATGCCAAAACGCTAGGTAATGATGCTTGTGTTCTTGAGCTCACGCTTTCTCAGCGGAGCGCTTGCGAGGTCTTTGCTGCTGCTGTCAAGTCTATTAAGAGGGTCCGGAGACTAATGCTCGACTCCGGTTGCGGTATAGACCTTATTGGTCTCGGTGATCTGTCCCGCGAAGAAAGGGACCTGATAGTTCAGAATGCTAAGATCAGCCTTAGGACCGCCAATGGGAAAACTAACACCAAAGGTGTTGCCCATATGCGCATTGACGGCCTCGATGAGCTGATTGAAGCTTATGTGCTGGAGAGCACACCAAGTCTTCTTTCCCTAGGGAAACGATGCAAGGAGCTTGGTTACCGATTTATCTGGGAACCCTTTTGTGATCCGATATTCTTTGATCCCAAAGGGAGACAACTCAAGATTGATGTTATCAATAACATCCCCTACCTCGCTCCGAGCGAAACCCAGGTAGTCGCGGGTCGACCTGATCTCCCTCGTGTGTATCCGGCACTCCCAGCACCGATCATTATTCACGAGAAAATCGTGGCTGCGGGTGAAGAACCTGTGGGCGAGCTAGACGACATTGGTGAGCTCGATCTTGATATGCCTGGTGCTAAGAGTGCCCAGAAAAGTGCACCTGACGATATCAAGAAGGTGCCTAGCAAGCCTAAGCATCAGTCGCCGCCCGATGAACCGAGAGCGCGCGATCTGAGGGAGGAGGCTAAGTCCATCCGTCACCTTATGACCCATCTACCTAAGAATCCCTACTGCGATGCATGCCAACGTGCAAAGATGGAAAACGTTAAATCGTTTCGCCAAGACTCACCACGCGATAAAGGGTTTGAGAAATTTGGCGAGCACGTCACCATCGATACTATGGTGTTGCACTGGCTTGGCAATCGTGGGAATAATGGGGAAACAGATGCAGTTGTCTTCTATGATCTAGCGACCGAGTGGTTAGAGAGTGTTCCCGTCAAGGGGAGGACGAATGCCGACACGCTTCGAGCGTTCCAGCAGGTTTTCGGCGACCTTCAAGATGTGAACTCGTTCTCCATGGATGTGGAGAGAAGGTATGCACCGTCTCCGGGAAATCTACTGTGATAAAGCCCGTGAGTTCATATCGACCTGCAAAAGAGTCGGCATCTCTGTAAAACATTCCACTCCTGGCATGCCTCGCACTAATGCCATTGCCGAGAGCAAGGTGAAGCTTGTCCTTCATGGCGCACGAGTGGCGCTTCGACAAGCGGGACTGAGCGCCAAATTCTGGCCTTATGCGTGCAAGCACTTTTGTCATGCTCGCAACATCGAGTTACGCGAAGGACAAAGTGCGTATTCGCTACGATTTAATGGTGCCGAATTTGACGGTCAGGTTCTCCCATTCGGATGTCTTGTAGACTTCTATCCCACGCCGGCACGAAAACAAACCCGACGTAGTCAGAAAGATGAAGTCGTACTCGGCGATGGTGAGGAATATGCCGTACCTGCGCCTGGAGATGATGGATTGGTCGAAGTCGAAGTTGGATTCGATGATGATGGTTATCTCGAGTGGATCGACGATGGGGACGACGATCGACCTGGCTCCCTCCAAGGACCAGACATGGATCAACGCCTATCGTCCTACCAGCGCCCCAGCAAATTCTCTCCCACGAGCAAACCCGGTGTGTTTCTGGGTTACCACTTCGAGAATGGGGGCAGGTGGGATGGTGACTATATAGTCGCCGACCTTGAAGATTTCAAGCGCGACGCACTGCGTGCGAGCGTCCATCAGGTCAAGAAGCTATACTGCTCACCCAAGGAGCGATGGACATTTCCGATGCTGGCTGTATACGATAAACAGACACGATCAGTGTGCATCGACGATCCCGCGATGCATTCTAATGTGCCTAAGCCAAGTGAGCGTCTTGACGCCTCCGACATGCTCGATCTCGAAGATATCGATGAAATCTTCGCCCTTGATGAGTCAACGCGAATGACCGATGATGATATTCGCCAAGCTCGCGAGGCTGAGTTACGAGCACAGTCCTCTCATGGAGGAGGTGTTGACTACTGGGAGTATGACCCATCTGTGCATAAATGGACGTATCACGTCATTGTTCCAAGGAAAGCGATGGTGAATCCCAGTAAGACTCCCGGTTCCGTTGGGGAGTCGCCTGATCCATGGAAGCTGAGCACGGTGCGTATATCACATGTTCAATACAAGGACAAAAGCCCGGTTACGATCTATGAGACCGGGTATGCCTTCGGCAAAACAAGACTCATGCAGCTCTGGACCGGCAATGTCGAATTTTATGATGAGGGCTATGCCCCACCCAAGAAGAAGTTACCTCCTTACCACGGGTCGGAGATCCTGGAAGGCGAGGGGGGTTTGCCTTATCGTCAGAGTGTGCCGCGTTCCGAGCGGGCATATAAAGGGTCTCGAAAACCGAACTCTATCGATTCAGAATCCTGGCGCAGTATGAACCGCGCCGAACGGGAGGGATATGTAGAGGCTGAGCGCCGAGAAGCTGAGTCTCATGCCATGTCCCGAGAGGATTCTCGCGATGCTGCTCCTGTCGACATCGCTTACGATTCTGAATATGAGTCGGGTGCCGAACGGCATGACAAGGATTACTGGTATCACGATGTCGCAGCTGGCACGATCACCCGATTTCATGTGATCGAACGCCGAGCGCGCTTCAACCCTACCTCCGTCAAAGATTGTCCCGTTGATCCTGCAACATTGACCGATGTCAGGATGACTATGGCCATGACTGACGGTACCGAGTTCACATTGCAGGACTCATGGAGATCATCCGACACTCGGTCTCTGCCGTGTCGATGGACGGGAAAGACGGTCTTCGTTATCGGTTCTTCCGCCAAAACGCAGATTAAAGTTCGAACCCGTATGCCGAACGCCGATGACACAGGGCGCCGCGTGCAGACTGCGAATGGCTATTATGGACACGCATTGCGTGCAAAGGGCCGTACTGTCGTACCTGCCAAATCTCGCGCCTGTGTCGTTACGGATCTTGAGTTTGAGCCCCCGGGTGGTATGTCCGCCCCTCTTCAGCCGCTCCGCGGCAGTGGCCTCGATGTTTGCCCGGCCATGTACACATACAATGAAGGGGCAACTCAGTCCGGTGTTGACGTCCTTAATCCTACCGACTACGATATTATAGTCGAGCCCGGACAAGACGTTGCTGTGGTTCAGTTTTACACTTCCGTTTTGGCAGCGGTTGAACTCGACTTCATCGCAGAAGACGTGGAATGTGATGTTTCTGCGCCGGTTGAACCATCCGATGACGGCCACGCTGTTGATACGGCACCTGCAATGCCTGTTCGCCCTGATCCTCATTCACACCAATCTCCCGATTCATCGGTCTTCTTCTACAGTGCGTGTGTTGCACGGCCCGTTGACCGAAAAGAGCGTGCCGCTAATCCCAAGGCGAAAGCCGCCCTTGACAAGGAGTGGATTAAGCTCATCAACCAAGGATGTTGGGATTACGCATCCGTGCGTGAGTGGCGCGATGTGTCTAACGAGGCTATGGCGAAAGGGGAAACGGCCCACGTTGGCCGTATCTTCGATATATGCGTTGAGAAGAATTCCGAGCTTCCGGAGTCCGACCCTAATCGCAAATTTAAGGGTCGAGTGGTGTTCGAAGGATGTCATGTCAAAGACGAGGGCAATAATTGGGCTATTTTCTCCGAGATCACCTCTTGCGCCGCGACCATGGAAGCTGGAAAGGCCGCCGATGCCTTCGGCCTTCTTCCTGGTCATGAAATACAGGTTGCCGATGGCGAATCTGCCTATACTCAGGCTAAGCTTGGCGGCCCGGCCACGTGGGTCCGCTTGCCCAAGGATCGTTGGTTGCCCGAATGGCAAGGCAAATATCACGATCCGGTCGTACGCCTGGTGCTGGCCCTTTATGGGCATCCGGATGCCGGTGGTTTCTGGGAACAGCATTGTGAAAAGGCTCTTCGATCAGTTGGGTTCGAGCAGTGTCCCGACTGGAAGAGTGTATTTCGTCATCCCAAACTCAATCTTATGCTCGTGGTCTACGTCGATGATTTTAAGCTCAGTGGACCAAAGGCCAATCTGGCAAAAGGGTGGGAGCTCATGGCATCGAAGATTAAATTGGAGCCGCCCTCGAGCATCAAACGTTACTTGGGATGCGAGCATGTTACCTTCTCCCACGTTGTCCCTAGTGCCTTTGATCCGCGCTCCTATTGGACGCGCTTCGAGGAACCCAAGAAGGCGTTTCCCGAGCTGACGTTTGGTGATCGCGACACCAGTGTCGCGCAGGGCTCTGTTGGTCCTCGAGAAATTCGCATGATCAAATACGATATGCGATCGTTCATGGAACAATGTGTTTCTCGCTATGTTGAGCTCTGTGGCCCTAAGTATAAGGCCACCTTGCGGTCGGCTGATACGCCATTCCTCGATGAATCACGACCGGAATTCGATACCAATCCGGATCGACCTGCTGTGAACCGCTTATTGGGCCATCCCGCTGACACGCCTGTGCCTCCTGGTAAGGGCGTTCTCGGCGACTGTGCAGCCGCCGTTCTGATGAAAATTCTATATGGTGCTCGCATGGGGCGGTACGATTTAATCCGTCCTGTGCAGGCACTTGCCAGTCTCATCACCAAGTGGGATGGCTTGTGTGATAAGAAACTCCATCGACTGGTGTGCTATATCAACTCTACCCTCGATCTCAACTTGTATGGGTGGATTGGTGATGCACCCGAGATGCTGGAGCTTGTGCTCTACTGCGATGCCGATCTTGCGGGTGACCGTACTGATTCCAAGAGCACCTCTGGTGTCTTTATGTGTCTTCTTGGGCCGCGTAGCTTTATGCCTCTTAATGCTTTGTCCAAGAAGCAAACTTCTGTGTCGAAGTCTACCCCCGAGGCCGAAATTGTATCTCTTGACCACGCTGTGTATAAATTGGGCCTGCCTGCTCTGTCTATGTGGGAGTATATGTTGGGCCGCCGTTTCCGCTTGCGGGTCATGGAAGACAATGAGGCCGCTATTCGTGTCATTATCACTGGTCACAATCCGAACATGCGTCACATGTCTCGTACCCAGCGTATCGATATCTCTGCGCTGAACGAGCGTTATCACGCTGGGGATTTTCTGTTCGTGACGTGTCCCTCTCAATTCGAGGCTGGTGATATTCTGACCAAGGCCTGCACTGATGCTAAGGTGTGGGGCCGCAACCTTATGTCTATTGGTCATTTTCGTAAGGGTACTCTTATTTCCTCCGGTATGCTGTCTGCCGCTCCCGCTCTCCCTGCTCTCCCCTCTGTCTGTCCAACCAGGGGGGTACATCTTGAAACCGGTCATACCCCCTTCAACGATTTCATCCTCGACATGTCTCGTCAGGGGGGTGTTTCGATCGATGATGCTCACCAATTCGGAGCAGCAGTAAAATGTATTCATATCGGAGGCGAAGGCATAATCCGATTCCCTCATGCTCGAAGTATCAATCTCAGTCTCGATGATAATGCAAAAGGGATTGCTATTTCGAACATCAGGGTCCCGCCTACGCCTGCGGTATGTATTGTCACTGTTCCGATTGCTGGCACCGCTAACAAAAGAGAAGCTGGTTTCAAGAACAGGGGTTGGAAAGAAATGAGGGGCGACCTAAAGGAAAAAGGATGGGAAGCCAAGAAATTACTCGGGTATGCTTCCGCTGCCCGCTCATCCGGAATCCCTGTGTTTCTTGTGCTGCCGAAGGGAAACCCGTTGTGGGGTAGGGAGTATATACGACGATGGTCTGAGTCGCACGAGCTGTGCCCTGTTAAACTGTGCTCGTGCTCCTCTGGTCGATGTTCCCAGCATGCATGGATGTGTGAGATTTTCATGCCTGCCCGTTTTGGGCCCATCTTCATGTCACGATTTGCATGCAATCACAAGAAGGTCAAAAGGGCCGACCCGAAGGAGCTTCGACTTACATTGTGGACTGTGCTTGAACACTTCATAAATTCTGCAATCTTTGGCTCACAGCAATCCGCGTAGCCGATTGCTTAAACAAAGACGCCAAGGCCATGTTCACACACACACACACTTGCACACTTACACTTGACACAACTTGGTAAGGAGCTCTAGGGAAGATGATCATAGATCACCTTCATCAACCGACCATCACAGACCACCTCTACTACGACCCAGTCTATAGCCCACTTGCGCTCCCTGCTAGGACAGGTTGTAGCTGCCACGGGCTGCGAACTTCCCCGCGCTGCCGCCACTGCTGATCGATGGGAGGAAAGAACAAGCAGCCACCGAAGAAGGCTGCTGCCAAGACACCGGCTGCCCGATCACCCCAGCCGAAGTCTCCCTCGCTATGCAGGGAAGGCCTTCCGAGCGGTGCGATCGCACCGACTACGGAAAGGCCTCCTGTTCCGCCGATTCCCACGGAGCAGGATGATTCCAACATGGGTACCGATGAAGCCCCTGTCCCGATTCAGACCCCGAGAGACGAGTCCACAGGGGGTGGAAAGCGCTCCGAGGACATTCCGATAGGATTGAGGATGAAGATGATGATGCTGAAGATTGGGATTCAAGAGATCCCACAGGCCTCAATCTGGCAACGCCTCGAGCAGCTGACATGCAACTCTGGGTACGATCTCAAGCTGCACCAGCTGGTTGACTCCTTCCTTCTCACTACTCATCCGCTTGCGGATAAGCAGAGGAAGCAGTACCCCCAAGAGTTTATGGACTTCATCGACCGATACAGGGTGATGTGCGCTCTTGCATTTTCCCGAGTGGCGACGTTGTCTGGTGACGCCGCGGGGGTCCGCGAGAAAATGGACCTTACGATGGCGCTGGCTCGCCACTGTATGCTTTTCCAAGCGCAAAGCTTTAAGGGATCCCGAGATATGCTGAGCAACGATACGCTCCAGCTCATGGGAACCTGCTACATCCCGTCGCCTCTTGCGAGCTGGAACCGAAATCTCATGGGATATAGCAGTTCGACTGCTGAACAGCGATGGTTGAGGACCGATACGAGTATCAAACACAACGACCTCACCAAGCTGTCGCCCATTGAGTTGTCAAGGGAGGCGGTCAGCCAGGCTGAAGCTGTGAAGTTCTTCAAGGGATTTCTGCAGCTCAGGCCGACGCTATCGTTCATCCCTGGAGCGTTTCTGGCGCTCAAGGCTCTTAACCGATTTCCCACGCTGGACTCTTTGAAAGAGCAAGCAACTCACCTCGATAACGATCGTAAGGAACACGGCTACGATCTTCCTGCCGTGGACGCGAACGGGATCGGGGAAGCAGCCGCCTTTCGCAACGAAGACGACGATGGGAATACCCCGTTGATGCGCGGGTGGGTCTCGTTCATGAAAGCGATGGTTGAGGCCTACCCCGGCCGGTGCGTTAGCATCGATGATACGCTCAACTGGGGAGCCAGCACCCCTATGACCTATGAGGACGGTGCGGGGCAGACCACCATCCGCCCGACTGATGGATGGGTGTATGTCCCCGCGATGAATTCGGACATATACGATCCTCAGGAAACGTTCCTTCACGGAACGAACCTCCGATACCTCTGGTCGATTCTTGCACACGGAGGTCTGTTCGGGGAGGATTACGTGACGGACGATCATGGAAGTCACGAACCCTGCGTCTGGGTGACTGGACACGCTTCCGAGGCTGCCGGTAGCTACGCGTCTGGCACATACCTCGGAGGAGGATACTGGTTTCAAGTGATGATCTGCGTCTCCCGGACTGTGGTGAACACCCACGGTCGCACGACGAAGAAGCTGGGAGGATCCCAGAAACAGATCCGCGTCGGAACTCGATTCCTCGAGCTGTGCGGGATCGCGTTCAGGCCCTTCCGCCTTCTGGATGACCGCGAGCAAGGGGTTTCTACCTCTCCACAATACGTCATCCATGGTCACCGATTCCTTAGTGCCGACGGGACAAAAGCTGTGGCCTGGCACCCATGGATGGAAGCGAGCCCGATTGATCCTCGCATTCTGAAGCTGCTGGGAGAAAGCGTCGCTCGCGACAGTGTCGAGTTTGCCGACCTCACGATTCAAGGGGGCAACACTACTCAACAGGTTGCTTCCACCGAGACGGAACAATCTAGGGCGACCGCGGCTGACGATCAGGCTGCGGAGGGTGGAAATGAGGCGACGGACCGAGTCACAGTCCACCCAGCAGTGCTTCGCCGCAACCACTGGATGCCTGACTCTCACGGGACCAGTGAACACGCCACTGTCGGTGGCAGGTATGCCTTGCTATCCGAACTTCAATCCTCCAGCTACCGATTCGAGCTTGCTCCATTCTTTCAGCTTCGAGCACCCATCATGGGAGAGGAAGGAAGCCAAGGTTTGCCAAAGCCTGCAAGGCTCGAGACGATTGTCGGAGGACCCTCCAAGGAGTGGGAGGCATGGTGCAGACACTACCGAAAGGCATACGGTGTCATGCTCGGGAACTTCGGCTACACGCCCGCCAAGAGCCTCAAGAATATCCCGTACAGAGAAGAAGGAACAACGGATATTGTTAGTGCGCCGATTTGGAGCCCGGCCGATGCACTTGTGGCCGTATCGATCCATGGGGTCAGAACGGTCACGACCATGGCCTCCACGATTGCATTTGGGGGTGCACCGCCAACGATCAAGCCGGCGGTGCCCAGCAAACCGCAGAGATTCGTTGTTATGCACGATGGCCTGCTGTCCTTCAAATCTGCCAAATCTTGGCATGATGGTGAGATGAACGCCCATCTGAAGAACGCGCTGACGAATTTTGGGTTTCCTGATTCGGAGGTGCGCGTGCAGGCGTTCGGCGAGGACAACAAGCTCAAGGATATGGTCGACACTCTCGCGATGATGCAGAGCGAGACCTCCATCCCGCCATCGAATGTGCACGTCCTCATCCTTTGGAGAGGAGAGGATCTGTGGAAGATAGACCAGGGCTGGAACAAGCTAACTGGCGACATCGATATGGCACGATCTCAATATGCCAAGACGACCGCCCGGGATGCTCTCGAGAAGTACAATACGATCTACGGATCGGTGTCCCTTTGCGGTCCGGTGTCGCCGAGCATGGTGTACCTTCCGACTCTCCCTGGCCCTCTCTTCGAGAAATACAGAGAGGAGATGAGATCGATCTGGGACGCGATCAGGAGATCCAACCTCCTTACCCTGTCTTTTGACGCTATCCTGGAAGGTCTGCCATACCTGAAGGGATATCACATTATGCATGAGTCCAAGACGATTGGGGTCCTATGTACCCGCATTTGCTCGATGTTCACTCTTGCTGCTCTCGCACGATTTCCGTCTTACGGGACCCGCCGGGAGTATGAGATCGCTGCCGAGAAGATGTGGGCACGCACCCCAGTCCCGGTAGAGAACTCGCCTGGCGCGGTGAAGGCCATTGTGCACTCCACTGTGCAGGACCTCATCGATGGTGCAGATCGCGGCGCCGATCATCAAGCCGCAGAGACTGTCGACATGAATCAGCTAGGTTTCGATGATGACGATGATGACGATATGCCTGACGACGTAGGTCCGACCGCTCCCGGGAATCCGATCAAACAGGAACAGGGAACATTGGCGGATCTACCGGGTGTTCGTCATCCGGATCCGATCGAGCTTCCAGCTACTCCCGTGCCTGGCGAGGCAATGCCAGTGTCACCTGGCCTTGCTCCGACTGCCATGAATGATGAAGAATCTGGCAGCAGTTCCGATGAGAACGATCAGCAAGGGGATGGTGACGCGGCAATGCCCACAGTCAAAAAGGAGGAGTCCGATGAAGAGTTCAATGGGCTTCTCGAAGGAATGACTGAGGAATTCGCGAAAATGCCCACTCCTCGAGATGCCGAGCGAACTGTCGCTGCCAATCGGGACGCTGCACGACCGCCTGCCGTGCCCTCGATTCCTCTCTCTACGATGAAGAAGCCGAAGCCGGTTGGTGGCGAGGAAGCCGCGGGGCCCACCGCCGATAATCGACAAGCTTATGCGCACTTCGAGAGCCAAGTCAGTGAAGCTGAAGCTCGCCGCGAGCAAGCTGCGGCAATGAAAGCGCATATCTCTGAAGTGGCAAAGGGCGCCGCCGGTGTTGAAAATGCCGAACATCTTCGATCCATTGCCGATGGGCTAGCCAAGGTCTTGGACCCGAACATGAGCGATGACAATGTGTTTCAGGGTGCCTTGTATCCCCCGGGTGACTATGCGCTTGACGCTGTCACGAACCGACTGGCTCAAGGCAGACGTCGGGTTGAATCGAACAGCAATCTCATCAGGGAGATGGCCAGCGACCGATTCACGCCTGTGCTCATCAACCGAGACACTGGTGAGACTGTGTCTGCCATCGATGCACGATGGACTCCAGAGTATGGAAACAGGGGGGAGCTTGAAGCTAAGGTTGGTGCGATCATTTCCAACCTGGATGCAGTGGTTGCAAGCATGTCAACCCTCCCTGTGTTCCATCCGCACATTCCGTCGACGTATGGTATGGCTCGATCGCTTCTCAACACATACCAGTCGTTGCAGATTGCCATCCGACACCGTGGCATGGGTGCGATGTCCTTTGAGCAGATGGTATTCAAACCAGAGGACCTTGAGGTTCCGACCCCCGATGATTGGCCGGACCTCATCGCGCCTACCCCTGGAAAAGTCATTCAATCCATGCGGGTGGCCCTGGTGAACAACACGGCGGCAAGGTTGACGAGAGAGGACCTCAAGCTGCCACCGGGCTTCGCCATGCAACGACGAGTGACTGAGTTCCGTAAGCCGGAGGAAGATCCAGTGCAGAGCCTGATGGGGCTCACCGATGACTTGAGCTACGGCACTACTGGTCGATCTGGGGATGACAGATTGTCCCAGTTCCAGCGTAGTATGGCAGTACAGCTGCGGAACACTGCTGGATTCCTTGCGAGTGAGTTCCAGAAGCATGCCCGATCTATTGCCGCTTCTTCCTCGCGTCGCAGTGATGCTTCAGGTGCCCTGAGTAGCCAGGGTGATGGCGCGGCGGACAACGATCTTCCGTCCACTGAACAGGTTAGTGTTGCATCTGAGCGCGCGTTTGCGCCGCCTCCGCCAAACGTGGCTCCTCCTCCTCCGCCTACTGCGGCAGCACCTCCGAGGGCGTCCGAAGAGAGTGCAAAGGAGGATGACGATGATACCAAAATGGATGATGACACGGCCGGTCAGAAACCCGAGCAGAAACCAGAGGAGGACGCAGATATGGGTAGCGGGAAGGAGCTGCAAGACGAGGTCCCCGGCAAGGCCCCGCCGCCAGCTGCCCGAACCGCTGAGAGCCCTCCGGAACACGGCCTGCGTTCCAGTCCTCCGAATGACATGGTTGCTCAGGGAGCCGCGCTCTCCGGTGCTCGAGGACCGGAAGTCGATATTGATCCGGCCAGCACCACAGCCGATCAGGCGGCAAATGATCCGAGAAACTGCCGGATCGAGGGCCCTGGTATCAAGGCGACAACGATTCATCGCCCCGATCAGCTGCCCGAAAGGGGTATTGACTCCATTGCGCCAATCGTGCAGTACGAAATGACGTCTGTCCCGATTGCACTGCCAGATTTCGTCGTTCCGGGACTCGACATGGGCATCGATGACTCCGTCCATGGTCGGTTGGTCTCTGCGACCTGTCTCCCACCGACTGACGAGCAGCGCAAGTATTCAAGACGCCGATTTGCTATGCTGTCCTCGAATCAGACAGTGTACCTGGGTATGGCGCTTCACAAGAAACCGCTTAAAGGAGAACACGATTCTTTCCTCCGGCCGGAATCTTATGAGGACTGCCGCGAGATCCATGAAGCTGTCCGAGCCTACAACGCCAAGGAGGCGACATACCGATCTATCGGCGGAACATCAGTGTCATGCAGCCGATTGCTCATCGATGACGCACAAAATATCCCTGCTGCCAGGATTCCGGACGCAGGCATGATCAGTTTGGTGCGTAAGCTGCTGTTCCGAGTGCTGACGCAAACAAAGGAGCGTCCATCCTCGACTGCCGTCGGAGCACAGAATCGCCCCCAGGACAAAGAGAGGGGCGTCCCATTGTATTCATTCCTCGACCAGAGTGGCATCATCGCTTTCGATGTCATTCCGATGTACATGGAACGCGAGAGGGAATACATGAAGGCCAACGCTGGCGAGTTCAGCGGCCGGACGCTTCTCCAGACTAGCATTCTGGACGATGACGATAAGCCGAGTGAGCTCACCGTCCAGTGCATTACGGAAATTGCTCGAACGGACAACAACCGAATGTTTGAGTTCTTCTACTCGACGATCAACGACGATGGAAGTCCTCAATTTGTTGGCGTCCGAGCAACCTATGGTTTCGGTCCCGATAACTTCAACCGATTTCGATTGCTGATCAAGTGTCAGCACGGGCCATTCACTCAGCTCGCTCAAGAACATTATGTCAATGGCGAGAGGAGACGAAATGTGGCCCGATATCATCCCCAGTACGGATGGGGATGCGCAACGATTCGCGAGTTCTTCGGATACATGAACGATTGCAAGCTCAATCCCCCAAAGGGGCAGCTCTTCCTCACACTGCTCCCGTATGCCCCTGGATCTGGGAAGAACAACGAGTGGGAAGAGGTGTACATGAACGTCCGAATGAACCCGGGACGTGAGACGCTCTCGAACACCGCGTCATCACAAAGCATGCTCCCCGAAGGTATGGGGTCCAACCGCATGATTGTGTTCGCGATCGATTTGCGCATGATTGCAGCAGGTATCAATCCGATTGCATTCCATCCGAGAGGGTACTATGCGATCAAGGACAGTATCCCTCTCGCATGTATGCCGATTGCATACTTCATGGATACGGGATCTCTAGTGTTCAACACGGCCTTCAAATACATCGGAGGCCCGAAGTTTGGCACTGGACCCAAGAGGGGAGACCACAGACGAGAAACGTGGCCACTCGCTAGCTTCGACTGCCCCATGTGCGGAGCTTCATTCCCTGTTGGTCTCCACATGTGTCACTCTTGCACTAAGCCGATTCACTATCCTGATGGGATGTTCTACGCTGATCCTGTGAACCCCTTCCAGGTCGAATATTACGGAAGTCATGCTGAGTGGCTCAATGATCTGATCGAGCGTAATAAGCTTACCGAATTCAAGCTTCACGAGTTTCCTGCGATCAAGCAGCTGAGGAATTTCCCGGTGTCTAGGTCTCTCGCTGAGGACCATAGGCAGACCGCATTCTTCGGAGTGCCACCGATCAAATGCACCGCTGCTGACACATCGCCGAAGGAAGTGGAACTGTTCAAAAGAAGCGTGCGCGGTACGATTCAGGGCGCCATTCGCTTGGACATTTCCATTGAGAGGCTTGTTGCCGGTATCACTGGCAAGGAAGCTCGATGTGGAGTAGAAGACTTCTTCAACTCACAGTCGATCGCATGTGCTGCCACGATTGTCAAGCACTTTGGAGCGGTCTTCGCCACATGTCGCGAAAAGCCGTTGTGCTACTATGCACGTTGGTCGATTCACTGCCAGCGCGCATATCGAGTCTGCCTGTCGCGAGGGTATCTATCCCCCTATTACACAGGTGTGACGGTCGATTATACCGTCGACCAAGAGATGGCAGAAAAGATCCGACTTGCTCATCTGCCCTTGCAAAACGCCAATTTGGCGATGAGGCGGCACATTCGACTCTCCACCGAGTTTGGAACGTTGGATGAATTCCGTGCCACTATCACGCATACGCAAAAGTATCAACGATACATGCGTGTCGACAGTGAGAGCCTTTCCGCGCTCCTGGCCAAGGTTACCCTTACCACATGCTACGGCATTCCGACAAAAGGTGAGCCTGGCTATATCTCTGACGATGAAGCAGAAGAGATCGAAGGAGCCGCAGCGGCAAGCGAGAAGCCCAAAGGGAAAGGCAAAGGGGAAGACGAATCCAACTTCCAAGCCATCAACTGGCGTGAGTTGGATCCCTTAGGACGGAAACTTATTCCGCATCACTCTGATCCCCGATTCACGATTATTGCTGAGGGGAATACGGCACTCCTTGATGCAGCCGAGACGCCGGAAGAGACGCGTAAGGAATTCAAGGAGTTCGTTCGCGATCACTCTGTCAAGATCAAAGAATGCTTTGACGACGATCGTGCGACAGAGAAGACATTCTTCAATCTTGTTGAAGGAGTCAAGGATCAGCTTCCCGATGCAAATAGCACTGACCCGCTTCTGATGAAAAGGGCTGAGGACGTCTTCGAGGCTCTCCCCGATGAACTGGATGATCCTCCAAGAGTGTTCGATGTTGCGGCTCGCCAGGCACGACGGCGAGACCCTGCACCTCAGCGCAGAGTGCAGGTCACCGAGCAAAGACAAGCGCCGATCCCCGAGGCTCATGCCGTTCCCATTCCTACGGATGACGAGGATGAGGATGATACTGAGCTCGATCGAGCGGTACGACCCGATCCAACATCACAGCGCACCGGACGAGAGCATCTCGGAGGTGTCGCTCCCGAGACGACTCCGCCTCCGCCTCATAACATGCCGCCGCCATCAAATTTGCCGACTCGAAAATCACATCGGCAAACAGGCTACAGCGCCGCCCATCCTGATGGAGAACCGTTAATGGTGTCGGGGAGGGCAGAATACTCCGATCGAATGCGGTTGCCCTCAGTGTTGCGAATGAAGACTCGGGTTCCGGAGTCGGATCTGGATAACCCGACGATTGAGGACATCATTCGCATGTATCATGCGCCGAACACGCTTTCCATCATCAGGAAGAAAGCCGCAGCCGTCATCATCGCGATGGGCGCAAATCCCGATGACGATATTAATATGAGGGCGGCCGGCGTTACTGTTCCCCATACCGGGAATACGGGGACGGGGCGAGCAGCATCGCCTGGAAGTACGTCCGCTGCTACACAGGAGCGGATTAATCCCCAGTTCCCGGCACCTAGCGTTCGCACTGCGTCGAATCCGCCATCGAAGTTGCCTCGCGATGAAAAGTGGGCTCCCTCGATTGCGCGACCAGCGCCGGCTCAGGTGATCAAAAGTGCAGAAGCACGGGGACGCACGCAACAGCGTGCTGCTGAACAGAAACGAATGTTGCTCCGCCAGCTCCTTCCGATACTGCCTCTTCGGAGCCGCGATCTCGAACGATGGGCCCAGCCAAAGAGACCACGGCTAAGGGCAAATCCCGAACCGGATCCAACGTGACAGGCCCCATCGATGAAGCTGATGACACGAGGCAGCCGACGAAGGGCAAAGGAAGAGGGAAAGCCGAGAAAGGAAAAGGAAAGCAGGAGAAAGGCCGAG